TACATATACATACATACACACACATACATACACATATACACATATACATATACATACACATGTACAACCAGTGCGTGTTGCCAGTGATGACTTACGGATCAGAGACGTGGTCCTTCACTGCTGGCCGTATGAGGACGCTGGTTCTGCCGATGATGAGGATGATGATTCTGCCAATTTATTAAGTAAGTGTTCCCGAACCTTCATCTTGAACGCGTACCGATTGCTAGCCGTCCTGATTTCGAGAGGGAGTGCGTTCCAAAGGAGAATAGATTGAATGTGGAAAGAAGAATGAACAAGTCCAGAGCTATGGGATGGACATAGGAGAAGAAGGTTGTTCGTAGAGCGGAGGTTTCTCTCATGACTAGCACTAAGCAACTGAAAGTGAGGAGATAAGTAGGAAGGGGAAGTTGGATCTTCTCGTCAGGAACACCTCAAAACTAGATCGTACAACCAATGCGTGTTGCCAGTGATGAAATATGGATCTAAGATGAGGTCTTACACTGCTGGCCGTATGAGGAAGCTTGAAGTCGCTCAACAATCTATGAACATCTCCACTAGGTGGAGTCAAAACCTGGTAAAACATGCAGGAAGTTGATGAATGCAAGTAGCTCAGGACCGTGCTTTGTGGCATTCCTTGGGGGAGGCCTATGTTCAGCAGTGGATTTGTGAAGGGTTTTATGATGATAAATGATAATGGCATTATACTAATATGATACATAAATAGAATGGACGTTACGGGTAGAGTCCACCTATCCATAGAGTCCAATCTATTTATTTAGGTATAGGTAGGGTATAGAATTTTTATCGATATAATTTGGTACACTGTCTTATCCCTAGTATTAGTTCCGTGGACATGCACTTCTGCTGTCAGCGCCAAAATGGCGGGAATTTAATCGCTTTATCATGTCACGGTGTATAGCCAGTCCAGCGTACTTGTATAAATATAGAGGTGAGTGGCTAATACTAAATGCTTACATAGTGCATTATATAGGCCAATGGCGAACAAACAATTTTTTTTTACATTTTTTTCTTGCGCCTTTAAATGGAAAATATAACTCTTGAAATCCTGAACAATTTTTTCTTCAGTCATTCTACTGCAGGAAGTCAAGAATTAAAGATTTTCCACATTAAACAAAATTCACCTCAGAATAGGCAGCATGGTATAAGAATTTTACCTGCCTTAGTTAGCAAAACGTTACAACAACAACAGCTATTCAATATAAGTTTTAATTATGCATATATAGAGTAATTACTAGCATAGAAGGAATCCTAAAATGTCGCGTTAGTATATTGAGAAGAGTTTTGTGAATAAAATACACATCAAGTCTGATGTGTATTTTATTCACAAAACTATTAGCCTAGTCAGGCTGTATGATATAAAACCTTTACCCGCCTTAATTGGCAAATCTTACCGACTACAAGAACAGTAGTCAATATAGAATACTATAATACATACATATTCCATGGGCACGCATATGAACTTGCGTTGGTGCTCCATAAACATTTTCGCACCTATGAGTCGGTTCTATTTTGTTTGTTCAATGACCTGGTAAGGACCAGTAGTAGTATAATAAGTCTATTTTGGTTAGATAAAACATAGTAAATTATTTTATTGATACACCAACAGATCCCGCTCACCTACTAGAGGTAGAAACGGAAGTAGAACGTAGGCTGCGCTGCCACCAGCGCGCGAACCACTCGATCTTGTAACAGTAGGTGAAGTTACAGAAACCATCAAAAGCCTTAAGAATAGATCAGCCCCTGGGCCAGACGTTATCAGCAACAAGGTGATCACATCCCTTTCGACGCCACTTATTTACCTCCTTGTAGGAATATTCAACACTCTTCTCACAAACTGCTCCTTCCCGGACATCTGGAAAGAAGCAGACGTAATAGGGATCCCAAAACCTCTAGTTACAGACCCATCAGTCTGCTCAACACTTTGGGTAAACTATACGAGCGCATTATTCACAAGCGTCTCCGTTTTTACACGGAATCTAACAGACTCCTCCCCGACGAGCAGTTTGGCTTTAGAGCCGATCACTCATGCACCCACCAGATTCATCGCCTAACAGAATACATTCTGTCTGGCTTCAACCACAACCCGACAAGGAAAAAGTCTCGAAACACGGGAGCCCTCTTCTTCGATGTCGCAAAGGTGTTCGACAAGGTCTGGCACGACGGCTTGATTTACAAGCTGTACAAACTAAACGTATCCGATAGGTTCGTGCACTTCATACGAGCCTTCCTCTCGAACCGCACTTTTCGCTATCGCTATACAAGGCTCCGTCCTATCTCCACTCCTCTTCACACTCTTCACGAGTGATATTCCTAAAGACCCAGTGGTGAACACCGCACTCTTCGCCGACGATACGGTACTCTATGTTTCAGACTATAATAAAAATAGTCTCTCCTTGAAGCTCCAAAAAGCCACCAATCGCCTAAGCAAATGGTTCCGCCTATGGAGAATTGATGTGAATCCCGAAAAGAGTGTCCTCTAAACCAAAAACAATTTCACTATATGACCGCCCAATTCCTTGGGAAGAATCGGCTAAATACCTAGGCGTCACGTTCGACATTCGCATGAGTTTCGCAAAGCACATAAGTGCAGTACGCAACAGAGCCAAGTCGGTCATTGGCCGTGTACACCCTCTCGTTAACAGCAATAGTAAGATGGCGCTAAGACACAAACTTCGACTGTACAAAACCTACGTTAGACCAATTATGTCCTACGCAAGTATAGCTTTCGCCCACACCTAAAAGACCCACATTTTAAAACTCCAAAGAGTCCAAAACTTTTTCATCCGAAAAGCCACTGGTGCACGGTGGTATCAACGGAAATGCATCCTGTAGAAGACCGAAAGACTGGATACTTTGCGCTGGTGTTCGAGGCTGGTAAGATTAGTTTCAACCAAATTCGGGTCACCAATAAGCCTCTTAGTACGCCTTTCCATTGAATCCAAGGCCGCTAGGAAGCATTTTGCAGCACCAGCCCATATATGGTATTTAATTTAAGTATTTATATTTTGTTTGCAATCCTCTTATTTCTACTACTCTTTAGACTCGTAGAAATCCTATTCTGTCTAGGAGTATGTATGTAAAGGTTTAAAAAATATAGAGAGCCAGGGCTATTCCGTTTATAGACCGTAAAAATCCCGGAAACGCATGTTCATCTATCCACCCCAGACGGGATTGATAATCGAAAATCGTATATTATTTTTTTCTTTAGATTTTCTGCCTCGGCTGTATATGTACAGTCATTTATAAAAACCCAATAAAAACTGACCCAAGATACTTAATACATATTAGCATATTTATAAAAATATGTACATAATTCTTCATTAAAAGGTCAACGCGGAAAAAAGAAATCTTACTTAATTAAATAATCACTATAATCTAGGCATAAAACAATTTAGGATGGTGTTAAAGACAAACATCCAAAAGTAACTTTTCGGAATTCTTGCAAAAACGCCCAGTTTTTCGTCTTTTGTAGCAAAGTAATTAAGAAAACGATTACTAATGTAGGTACATTAAAAGTGACGAATTTATTCAGGATTAATAATTACGTCTACTCAATAAAGAAATTACTGTTATTGTTATGTTTTAGAATTTATTACGTCTACTCAAAAAGAAATTACTGTTATTGTTATGTTTTAGAATTTATAAATTACATAATAATATTATTTAAGACGAGGAAGTTTAATTTGATTTAAATGCAACACGTAATGCATAGATTTTAATAGTCTGTAATTCTTTTTTGTATCATTTGGTGGTTTTTTGGTGTTAAAGTGTATGAGATGAACAGCTGTACTTGCTGCTGACAGTAGATATCTGCCGTAATCGTTTGGTCAGATTTTAGAAAGCTCTAGTGAACGACACCGGCGCTAGTCCACCAAACGCTCACAAGTAACTTTTTCTGAGATAATTTTCGTTTAGGGCAGGATTTGGCTGGGTCTACAGGGTTCAGGCATTGCGATGAGCGCTTCTCATAATCGTACCATATCCACTTTTTAAGTAATGATTTGATTTAAAATCCCTTTAATTTTGTGTCGGTTGAGCAAAGTAACACAGCAGTCGACACGTGTTTGCAAGTTCATTCACTCTTCTACCCTTTAAGTTTTTTTACTTTCCTGATTAGCTTCAAGTGGATACAGTTTTATCACTTACCCCGAAGCCTGCAGCTTTCTCTGAAGTGCTTTGTGATGGATCCGCTTCCACAATAGCTTTTAATTCTTCATTATCCACTTTGGTCTCCGGGCGTCCACGGGGTTGGTTCTGAAGGTGGAAATTTTCGGAACGAAAACGTTGAAACCAAAAACCTACCGTGCTTTCTTTTGCGACACCAGCGCCGTACACTACACACCATTAACCCTTCGAGCTGTTTCTGAAGCACTGGTACCACAGTAGAACTCGTACTCGTAAATATACCGATATTTCATGTTTTTCATTGTGCGGAAATAAACGACGCCAAAGAAAAAAATTATGAGGAAAAAACAAATGCATGACTGTTTTCAACACTCAAATATACCAGCTAAATGAATTTGTAAATTTGAATTTGGAATTCTTAACCAAAGAGGAGATATTTTAGATCAAAGTGGCCAGTACGACAAAACGCTAATTTCAATAAAAAACTGAATATAATAAGTAGAGAAAATGGTATTAAGGCAATGGATCGGTATATAGATCCCAGAACCGACAACTGATGGACAAAAAAGGTTCTCGACCGGTACCTCGTATCGGTAATAAAGGATTAGGCGATCAGGAAAGACATGCAGGAATTCGATGAATGCAGGTCGATCAGGATCGTGCTTTGCAGCATTCCTTAATGGAGGCCTATATTCAGTAGTAGACTTCTGAAGCACTGTAATAATGATAATGATGACAGTGAAATTATTTAAAATTAAAGTCGATTTGAATTCCAATAGTTCTATCACTTTATTTTAATAAACGATAAAAAGACAGAAAGTTATTTTAAAATATTCATGAATTTTTAAAAAAAATTACTTATTAAGTAGTTTTGTCTTCTTGCACATTGTTTCTGAGTCCTTATCGTTATCACCGCCGACTCGTAAATCTTCGAACGTTAAAGGTTGAAAAGGATAACCATTGCCTTCATAGAATTTGCTCATAAATTCCACCCTTTACAAACACGAATATTAATGTTTGCTTGTGCAATTAAAAACATATATCAGCATCAAACGAATATTTTGATAATCCTTTAAATATTAAACGTATTTGAAATTCATTTACCTTACAAAGAGGCTCTGAGTATATACAAATTTTAATTATTTTGCCAAAATTCTTAATCATTGATTAAGAATTTTAACGTAATACCCATGCCAATTTTTAACGCAGTAATTATGTATATAGTAAACAACAATATATTATATAAATATGTATCTACCGCGAAGTGGCGGTGTAAGAATTCCCACTACCCCATTTCATCCAGTGGGTATCGTGAGAGGCGCCAGGGGTAAATTGAACAGGAGATGGGTAGCAGCATCTTTCTGATAACAAATCAAAATAGTAAAAAACCGCGGTTGCCAATGCGTCTGTCAAGCGTGGCAACTATGACTCTTTGGGCTGTAATGGATGTGATGGAATATATACAGAAAGTACTTGTGCTTTTTATATGATAAGGGTGACAAACGAGCACACAGTCCACCTGATGGTAAGTGGTTGCTGTGGCCCATAGACATTTACATCTATTCTCGATTACCAATCAAAATTCAGATGCGTTGTCACTGGTGAGGACTTAGATGGAATGCCTCGTTTCCAGTAGAAAGGGTCTCCGGTTCTCTACATTCACCGTACGGAACACAGCAGCATTAAGCTACTATTTGACGCTGGTATTCTGTGAGAGCGTGGTCCTTCCCCGGTCGAGCCGACCCATTCATGCTACAACTATACTACCAATATACCTAACTGCAACATGGCTCTACCACGTATAACAGATTGCAGATTTAAATAAAAAATTTCACTTTTATAAGAAGTTAAAAACTCTGTGATTACAAAATTATTGTTATGATGGAAAATTCTTTTTAAATAATTCCGAACACCGCAACTTCCTGTAAGTATCATATGGACAAACGTAAGGGAACACTACTGTATCGAACAGTTTCCGTAGTAAATTTATGAGATAAGGTCGGCAGTAGATTTCGATGTAGTGCCAGAGAAAAAAGAGATTTGCCTTTCATCATACATGTGTACCAAAGCAAATAATGATTTGTATTGCACAGATACTGGCTTTGAGCGGAATTTTTAAGCAGAACCTTATTAAAAAAATAACTATTATAGCCCTGGCCTACACATTTGTTATTTCCTTTTTCTAGATGTACCTTAAAAATATTATTGTTTTTTTATTCCAAATTAAATTAAGTAAAAAACCAAGACGATACACATAGTACGTTTTTGATTCAAACAGTTTGTATTACTTCAGTATATTACACGATTTAAAGCAAAAGTAGTATGTCGCTTTTCTTCCTGGTTTTTTCTGCTGTGAAATTGTTACTATAAGTGGATATGACACACGTTGCCAGTTATTAGTAATATAACTTTTATTTTGATTTTATTTAACATTGTTTACATTTTTCATTACATCATAAAAATCTAAATAATGTTAAATAAAACGCTGGAAATAATATAGGTTTCAATAATTCTAACCTTATAGTGGCGGTGTGAGAATATCAACTAACACATTTACATCCCGTGCGTGTCGTAAGAGGCGAATCGAAACAAATCGTTAGATGGGCAGCGGCATCTTCCTAATAACGATTAAAAATTAATAAGCTGCAACTGCCAACCCGCTTGCCAAGCGTGGCAACTATGGCAAATATCCCAACCTGTGTACAGAAGTGGACTTTAATAGGCTGAACGGTTTATTTGCTTCGTTTCATTATATTAAGCCACTTAAGTAAGTTAAGTATCTCTTTATTCTATGTAGGTATATTAAGATTTCATTAAAATTTTAAACCTACTAAGTTACGCTGGATACTCGCCAAAATTTGTGTGTTAGCGAATCAAGTTCGATCTCCTCCAGTATCACTAAACCATAACAAACCAGTATATTAAGTGCTAATTTTTGTCCATAAATTATATATATTATGTCCAAGTTCTCATTGAAAATAGTTTGGCATGCATAACAAACAGAATGTCTTTTTTTTTTAGGAGAGGGGGCAATTGAGATTGAATTGATTGAAAAGATTGAAAATTAATTGATCACCTGATGGTAAGTGACTACCGCCGCTGATATGCAGAAGAAACAGCGTTGATGATAGCACGCAGCCTTGTGTTACACCAGCATTAATAGGCTTATAATCGGAGCATGCACCGTCTAAAACGACTTTGATGCTCCGATCTGCAAGAAATCTGGCGATCCAATTGCATAATTTCTCGGGAAGTCCATAGAAGGAAGGTTCGAGAGAAGCGCTTTGAGCCAAAACACGATCGAAGGCCTTCGCTATGTCCAGACAAACGGCCAATGCTTCCCTTTAAACTCTACTGCCTCCACTCATCTATGAGATATGAGTCAGATAGACGAGAAGATCACCAACTGATCGAACCCAATTAAAACCATATTGTCGGTCTCCAATCAGCAAGTGATTTTCAAGGTACGTCATGAGCTAGCATTTTATAATGAATTCCATTATTTTGGAGAACATGGAGGTGATGACTATAGTCAGATGGGTCTTTGCGGTCGCCTTTTTAGGGATCGAGTGGATAAAAGCTGTCTTCCATTGATTTGGGACTACGCCTAGGAAATAGACGCGTAGCCAAAGGATCGTCAGGTCCGAACCTTCAAGACTGCTAAGGCGTCAATAATAGATGTCTTCTATGACGTATACACAAACGCCAGCTCGAGGCATAAATGAGTGAAGTACCCTGATGTTGCAAAAAATCACGGATAGCGTGGCAGGGGTCGCCTTGGTCTTGTTGCTCAACTTGCCCCGAGCACTTATTGTCGAGTGGAAATTTGACCCCCCCCCCCCCTAGAATACGCGGGTAGCCTGAGCACTCACGCGCAAGAGTGAAGTAGCTTGATCGTGGATGCTCAGCGAGGGATTCTCCATTACCAGGGATGTAGGTACACTTCTGGGGTAGTATCACATTTAATTCCGCTACCGTGCTGATAGGGTTAGGAGAATCCTCTGGTAATACTCCTGTCATTACAGTCTATGCCATTACAATATTATATAATTATAGTGACCTAGTTAGCAATCGCCAAATTGTAATTATCTTTCAACATTTTTCATTTCATCAAACATTCAACAACAACAAACTTTCCAAATTATGTATACAAATTTACCAATGTAGACGCAATGTATGAAGAAAAGCTGACAGTCCTTCCATAACAACTAGTATAGAAACCGCGAAAATAGCCCAAATAGAAAAAACAATAAATATCTTCAAAGAACCATATGGGGTTCGATCCTTAAGCGCTAATTTTGACATTATCATCTGCCATAACATATCTGACAGCTCTGAAAACAAACACATGAAAATGGGTATGGCACAAATAAGTCTACTTAACAAGTTTATTGAGCATTTAAGCACTTGGAATGGTAGGATTAGGAGACTATTTGTATGATCTTTGAAATATAAAGATGACCCACGCCAAATTCGTTGCAAATGCATGGTCTAGTTATGAAATTCTAGTCATCCCCGAGGCCTCACATGGCTTTCCACATGCTTGCAGCTGGCCTTGTTATGAGTTGATGGTACAAATAATGATGACGATGATGACAATAAATTTGCATGATACTCGTAAACGATCATAAAAAATTGGTTTATCTCCTTCCTCGTCAGCCAGTAAATTCCGCTGCTGGACATGGCCTCTCCCGTCGTTGGAAGAATTAGCCTCAATAGTTACGCTCAGCAGGCGATGATAGACTTTTGACTCAATTTTATATCAGACGTATCGGAATTTCATTTCTTCTGAGTTTCCATTTTTCGAAGATTTCCTAGTCATGAACAACATAATAAATTTTAATTAAGTGTAAAATACTTACGTTCATGTGCTAACGATAGCGCCCACAGACGTAGATATGAAGCAGTATGTGATACGGTGCTTAGAACAAATTCAATACTACGTATCGCCTGATGGATCATTAATTCCCCAAAAGGAATTGAATATTTAGCAACTTCGGCCAGCAACAAATCCTCCGCTTTTTTATCAGAATCTCTTCGTTGATACCTTCTAAATTGACTTATTTTAGCCTGTAGGGATAAAAATTAGAGTAATCATAATAATAATGACTAAGTGGTCAGGTAGTACTGATACTGACGGCAATAAATTGTATCAAAATACAATTTCACCAAGATGTTTTGGAATATAATTTCGCGTAGTAGTAGCATCAAAAAATCCATCACACCGTTAAGTACCGTGGGCGTCGTCATAAATTACTTTAAGATCTGTTTGAAACTATGTTAGACATGTAGGTATTTGACAGTTGTCACTGGTGGTGATAAATATGAAAGATTAGATTAAATTAACAGAGCCGTCGTACAGCTATTTACATAATAATATGTAAATTGCATTACGTCAAAATGTCTTACGACATTAAATAAAGTATAATAAATTTAATGTTTCATACTGAGTATATCATAATATATAATATCGCAGCGTCAAGAGCGAAACATCTGAGACTACGAATATCGATACGTTTCCCAAGCTTAACATCAGGTAAATCTTCTCTATGAAGGGTAAGACTCAAATGCAGCAACGGATTTTTAAAGTTGATGAAAAACAATTATTATGTAGATTCCTACAAGCAGCTGTCTACAGACTATGTAAGTATTTACTCAAAATTAACTAAGGGACTATAAATTGTTGATTTCTCAAAACATTCAACAATTTTTTAAATGAATTAATGTAATATGAAATAATTACCATCACTTTATCTTTCTCCTTTTTATTAATTTTGTACATGTATAAAGGAGTCCCAAAAAGCAATATAGGCACACAGAGAAGCGCAGTAAACAGAAGTACCATCTGCACGACCTGTTGACCGGGAAACATATATGCATCGCAGTCGCTCCCAACAGGCTTAGAAGTGGAAAGCAACATCATGTCGATGAAGAGAATTAAGATAAGTGGAGCACAACCGGGGCTACTTTTGATGTTAGCTGTTGGAAAATAATTCCATCGTAAAGATATCAATTTTTGTTTATTTGTATATTATAAATATTGTAAAACCTTCTTTTCTAAAATATTGTTTCAATGGGGCCACTATAAAGTGTAATGAGATAAAAAAAAAAATATTTCTGCATGATGTAACACTAAGATATAATATAAACTATTCTTTCATATTATGATCGTGATTAATATATTGAAACCCATTTCTGAAGTTGTTATCGAGAGAAATAACTAAACTCGTAAAATTTGACCAATTGTTTTAATGAATATTTTATACAATAAACCTTAAAAATTACGATAATAAAACACTCCCACTGCTATTTTAATGCAGACGACAATTGACTGAAGCTGACACTATAAGTGCAAACACTGCTTTTCACTCTTTTAATCTACTGTAGCTCAAATTAGTACATGATATTACATAGAATTCACAACAGACCCGAAAACCTTCAATTTCTCTGTCTGCATTGACTGGAATTTAACCCCTGGACGAAAATTTTCAATACTCTGGCCATTAGACCAAACGGTGGTCATTATAAATACATTAACATCGTCATCAGCCCTCGCGGCCTGCTCCTGGGTAAAGCATAAACGTGCATGTACAAAGTACAAAATTGTTAAAAAAAATATCATCGCCGTTAAAAAACGTATCTCACCAGTTTTACTGCTAAACATAAACCATTTCATGTAAATTAAAATAACCAACCACAGAAATAGGCAGCATAAAAACAATATTTGTGGAATAAATTCAAGGAAAATAGCGTGTGTGCGACGAAAATAACTGTAACAACGGAAGTAATACTTTATATCGTAATATTGAAACATATTTTAAATGAGAAAATGTAAAGGAAAAATACTTACATGTGATTGAACAAGCTTAAAAATAGTCCAAATATCATGTGTATTATACCAATAATTATAGAAATCTTCATTTTCATAGAGTTCTCGGTCATAATCCTGTTGTAAGCAAACTGTTAAAAATGAGATAACAAAATTTTAACAAACTTTTTATACTTTTTTAATAAAACAAGTTACTAATGAAAGAGTTGAGTAAAAAAAATTAAAAATAAAACAAGTATCTTTATTTCTTTAGAGTAGAAAGGTTTTTATAAAAATATGTCTGTAACATTACATCTTCTGTTGTGTTCCAGATTGATGGACAGAATATTCATAATAATTTCACGCTAGCTGGCATTCCATTTTAGTCCTACCAAGTGCAAGCACCTGTTTAATACTATTAGAGTATTAACTAACTCTGGTACTAGAGTTAGTTTTGTTTTTGGTTTCCATGGTTGCCTGTAGCAACTTAAATTAGTTATCTTTATACTAGTTAGTAGAACTTCTGTCATGCCTCGAAGGTCTTCTAGCTACATTGGTAACATCCTCGTATCAATTCCCTCGCCATCAGCAGTTCAGCAGCAGTATAGTGTTAGTATGATTGCAGGTCTTGAGGCATTCCATCTTGAACCTCAGAGATGACAACTCATCTGTAACCTTTTTATGATATGTTAGTTTCAGGTGTCCATGAGCTGTGTCATTTACAATCAGGTTTGATGTAAATTTGTTTGTAATTTTTAATAGGTAATTTTATAATAATTTGTGCTGTAAATTTGTAAACCTTTTATGTCTGAAAATTTAACTAAATACATACACCCACAGAAATAGTAATAATAATACAATAGAAATGAATTAGCGCTCGATTACTTCCAAAACCGATGACGCCAAATATTACCGTATTATAAAGATACGCACAATGCACAATAATATATAATGTTTCACATTACATTGTTTAGCGTGTTTTTCAACGTAGAACAAAAGCAGCAATGGTGATTGTACAATGCGAAAAGTAATAAATGAAAGTTTAAAATGGTGAATATCACAGTAAAGTATTCCTTTAGATGTAAATTAGTTAAAACAATAATAATTAGTAAATAATCAACTTACCGATGAAATGTTATGGCTTTATTGGTTGAATTACAATATGTCCTTGATGAGTTTTTACAACTGCTTATGCTGCAGTTCACTATTATAAATTTTTAAAAACATAAATTCACGTACGACGTTCCCCGCTCAACTAAATCACAAAATGGTGAATTATGTTCGTCAACACATGATAGCGGCGACAAGGTAACGCGTCGACTTCTATTGTCTTATTATTACGATTTCTGTGCATACACCAGACATCACATATTTTTACGTAAACTAGGAGCATAAAACACAATGCAATAAAAATTTTAATCACCTCCCAAATAGGATCCACACCTAAAATATAAGGATTGTTTGTATCCAAAGAAGGATTTAGTTGAAGAAAATTTTGATTCATGATTTCTGTAACACTGTACGTATTTTTCCAATATGATTTCATTAGATAAAACGATTTTGAAAACATATCGTTATACAGAAAGCCGCAGTAAACCGAAAATAAGCCCATCATGAGGATAACGTAGCGCCCTGCCGAAATATTTTTTAATCATTACCTTTTATCCAAAAAAAACATAATGAGCTCATCCTCTTCCCCATGTTAATACCCCTTGGGTGACATGAAGAGAAATTTATGGCAAATATCCTTTTTATGACGTTGTCTATGGGGGCTGTGATCAGCAGTAGACTTATGATATGATGTAATGCGTAAAAAAACCTATAGATATCGCTGAATTCGACTAAAGAACCTGATAGAAGTGGAAGAAGTGGTAGAGCCACTCCACAACTAATTTATAGTTGTAGTAGGGTTGGCTCGACTGGGACAGGACCACGCTTACCATCGTAAAATAGCAGCTTAATGCTGCTGAGTTTGAACCAGTGACCCTTTTTACTGGAATCTAGGCATTCCATCTTAGTCCTTATGGGTGACAACGCATTTGCATTTTGGTACTTAGTTGAAGATAAATGTGGATGTCTATGGGCCAAAGAATTCACTTACTATCAGGTGGATTGTGTGCTCGTTTTTCATCCAATGCCATAAAAAAATACAAGATACTGAAATATATAAAGTAGTTGCAATTTGTTATAATTAATAATTTGTCAATATTTTCTATTTATATAATCCTTGCGTAAGGTGGCATAATATATGGTATATGCCTAAACATAAAATATTACATACTACTAATACTCGTAACACTGGAATTAATAAGTTTAATGAAAACCCATTAATGACTTGGCGCACTCACACTCACAAGTACGCGCACGCGTACCCTCAAAAGCCAATAAACACACGCAAACAAACGCCCATGCACTAAAACACGCTCACGCACTCATCTCGAAGTCAGGAGTTTAATACAGTTGTTTCAATATAATTTTATGACGAAACTGTATTGAGATCATTATCCATTTTAAAAATCATTTAATAATTAGAAACAAGTTAAGCTGCTTTTGTTTAGCACAAACATAATTTTATTATAAAAATACTACTAAATCATCACAATATTACAAAAAGTTATTTGCTATATATTATTGTTGAAAAGTTAACAGTTAGTTACCTCCGAAAAATATATTCCAAATTTCATTGGCAGGTGGTTTACCCAAATATTTCTGTTCATTTTTTATCATCCAGGCAGCGAATATAGCTAAAATTAATCCGTGTCCCAGATCGCCAAACATTATTCCAAATAGAAATGGAAAAGTTATAATTGTGTACAGACCTAGAAATAAAATGTTTAAAATCAAATAGTAGCAGATTTTTACTGCATCAAATAAGTGTTAAAAATTTCTGTTGGAATTGTTTCATTAAAAATACATATTATGAAATACATGCATTTAATAGAATGTAAGACTTTATAGAACACTAGCGATTCACTCGGACTTCGCACGAGTAGTTTGTGGATATTGACAACAGCGCCACCTGCTGGATCCAAATGTGAATCTAAACCATCTGGAGAACCATTCAAACACACAAAAAGTTTCATCAAAATTGGTCCAGTATTTTTTGAGTTGTAGCGAGACTAATGGACATTAGTTGATTTTTACACAGAGAGATACAGATGTAGATTACACCTTAAGTGCCCTGACAATATAATAATCCTCTCAGTATTTGGATCAAATTTTAATACACATTTTTATGTAATAAAAATAAAAATTATTGCAGTATTTTAAACGACCACAATTATACAGAAAGCCAAATTACAATTTTAAAAACATTTATTGTTCTTTTACTCGAAAAAACCTAAACACAATAAATGGTCTTATTCTGTAGAATGTAGTTTTGGAAATTGCAAAAATATTAGAACAACCATATTCATAGTCGCCTTCTACTAAATTACAATTTTATAAACATTTATTGTTGTTTTATTTATTGGAAAAAACCTAAACACAAATTAATTGGTCGTATTCTGTAAAATATTGTTTTTGAAATTGCAAAAAAGTTTTAATAACCATATTTATAGTCGCCTTCTACTAAAATACAATTTAATAAACATTGTTGTATTATTAGGAGAAACCCAAACACAAAATATGTAGTTGGTAGTATTATGTAGAATGTAGTTTTGGAAATTGCTAAATAATTTTAACAACTATATTTATAATCGCCTTCTACTAAATTGAAGTATTAAATCTTTGTATTTATATGGCAGCTAAACAAGATCTTTTTCTACTTTCTCTCTCTCTATCTTTTTATAAATATTTATTACTCTTTTATTGGGAAAAACCTAAACACAAAATAGGTGGTCCTATTCTCTAAAATGTAGTTTTGAAAATTGCAAAAAAATTTTACAACCATATTTATAATCATCTTCTACTAAATTAGTAGTATTAAATCTTCGTATTTATATGGAAGCAGCTAAACAAGGTCTTTTTCTACTTTATAAAAAATATGATTTTAACAGGTGATACAGACTAAATCGAATAGCTTAGCTACTTTTGACACTTTTTTAAAGGAGCACAATCATTAGTCGTTTTTAACTTTTTGAATTTTTTGAATTTGTATTATTTCAAAAAGTTGAAGTGTGAAAAATTTGTCGTCTATAGAACAAAAAATCTAGTTCAGGATGACGTATGTAACTCATTTTGGCAAAATTTCTTTGGTCGCTTTCTGTATAACTATGGTCAGATAACTGTGGTGGGAGTCTAAGAGAACTGATCACCACGTTTCGTCTTATGAGCGTCGTTAAAATTGAGTTTGTGCAACAAATAGACCTTGGATAGGAAATCTGCAAATGCCAGCATAGTTTTTTTACAGTTACAAACATCATATTTGCTCATTTTTAACCCTTTGGCTAACAGTGGCAATATACATGCCACTATGTTTCTTCTTAGAATTCAAAATCCAATTTAACTAAAAAAAAACAACCCACCAAGTGTATAAAAGATTTATGAATATAGCGAATTCAATTCTATCATTTAATTTTATTATTGATTATGCCAACGAACCAGTTGTCAATGTTATTCAAGATTTGCACCTAATTTAGACTAATACTCGATAGCAATATAATAACTGAAAAAAAAAATGCTTATTTTAAGTAGGTCTGCATTATTTTCCATTTGTTGATAAAACAAAGAGAAATACAGGATAATAAGACCCTAATCGTCAAGCTAGGCAAACAGGTCGGTTGACAGTCGGAGCCAGAAAATCAGCCACTCCGCACTCATAGGGTGACTCGCCTTAGGTCCTTTAAAAAAAACACTTTTTACTGCTGCAGCCACGAAGCGGTCCGTCATTAGTTGGTAAGTTAATGCTGGAGGTAAAACTAGTGTGAGATACCTTTTTGCATGAAGCTACAATTATTGCAGTTGGCAACAACTGTATTTAGATACTACGAATATTTATAGCTCTGCAGCCGATTAAATGTTAAATGCACAAACACAGTATTTATTTATGACATTCGAGCTTTAAGTAACTATACAATTACTGGAACGCATTAGGCGTAAAATATAATTACAGTACAATAATGCTGGAGCTAAAAAAATAACGATTTTTTTAGTACTGACCAATAAAAATAAAATTTGTGAAAACCTATTTTTTCATTTCGATCCATCCATTACAGCCTGTAAATTTACTACTGAACATATGGCTTTCCCCATGGATTGCCTCATTTTGTCATAGTTGCCACGTGGGTTAGTATTTAGTGTTGGCAACCGCAGTTTTTTATATCATTTTTATGGCATCTTTTTAATATTCCTGCAGCCCAACTCCTGTTCTAATTTCCCCTGTCATCTCTTACGACACCCATGTAAGTGGATATTCTAACACCGCCATTACACTGTTAGTTTCACAACCGTATTTTTCATTTACCTGGATTTAATTCCCCGTACGATGACTCACTATAAGCATTAATCAACGCTTGAAAACCACTAGTAAATTTATTGGTACGATGGTACGTCGGTGGCGTGGCGATAGTCTCCGTTTTAGACATAAAAGAGGGTACATTAGTACCAATTTTGGCCTAAAACATAACTCGATTTTAATTCTTTGTTATTGCAATAGATTTGTGAACAAATAATGTTTTTAATGGATTATACTAGTATTATTAGCTAAAAAAATGAAGCTTGTTAATGTAATGTTCCTTCGAGCCCATTTACAACCATGGCAACAACTCATAAATAATTTGAACTCCGCTGCGCTGAACCACTGCGCTGTAGCTAGTTTCTATTTGTAATGTACCCGTAGTGATGTGAAACTTCTGTGAAAAGTTCAAACGCTAAAAGTATGCAGCGTTAAAGACGGAGAAAACCGTGACATAACCAAAATCTCATCATCATTACAGCCATTCAAAATTCAACTACTTAGTATGGGCTTCCTCCGAAAAATTTTTCAAAACACTGTATATTTTAAGAGGTGGTCGTACATAGTAGAGGCTACCACTCGAGAACCTTTCAGTCAGTTGTTGATTCTTAAAGCTATGCCAATTAATATTTACGAATGAAATTGCATTACCGGGCAATTTAAAATCAAAATCATATTTTTATTTGGCTGAGAGTTCTAATTTCATTATTTTAAAAACATTGTTTTTTTTTTTTTTAATTAGTCGTTTTTTAATTGATTTTACGTTATATACATCGCATTTGAATATTTTTCGTCATCATAGATACGTCAAAAATTCGAGTAGCTCGCGCAACATAAACGACGCATGCATTATGGAAGCATCATCAGCTTCCACAATCACCTTTAACTCGTCACTCGATTTACGGCTTAATCAGCAGCAGTTTTCGTCAGCATGAAAACAATATTGGCCCATTTGCGTCCAATTAACAAGGTAAAAAAGCTTGAAAAATGGGTACCTATGAACTCAACGATTGCCAGCGCAAAGTACGCGGCGAGACATGCCTTGCATGAGCAGTGCACACATAGGAAGGAATTGTGAACCGCATTGTTACCTGCAACGAAAAATGGACTCTGTTTGACAATCGCAAGTGCTCATCAAGTTGGTTTGAACCTAGTTCAGCACCTAAACAATGCCCTAAACGAAAACTTACCCCTATAAAAGTGAACGTTACTGTTTTAGTGGTCAAACGCCTTCATCTTCATATTCATCACAGCATTATACCAAATGGGATGAGCATTACTGCAGATTTATACTGTGAAGAACTGAACACAATTACGGAGAATCTCGCACGTCTCCAACTAGTTTTGTCAATCGCTCGTCCTTGCTGCTCCTGCACGACAACGCGTGGCCTCATACTGCACAACAGACGGTCTCCAAGTTACAAGAGCTGGGGTTGGAAGCTCTCTATCCACCGTATTTACCAGACATAGCGCCTAAAGACTTCAACTTTTTCGAGAATTTGGATAACCTTTTTGGTGGTAAAAAAATTCAGTATCCGAGAGGCACTAGAAAATGCTTTTGAAGAATTTGTAACCTCCCGTCCAGTTGATTTCTTCAAGAAGGGTATCAATAAGCTGCCACTGCGTTGGCGTAGATGCATCTATTGCATCGGTGATTACTTTGATTAATAGAAATAAAAACTATCGAATTAAATTATAGTAACTTTTTTTATAAAAAACGGCAACTTTATAGATAAAGGCCTTATATTTTTGGCCCGTTGCCACTTCAGCTTACTGATCCGTTGGACTGTTGGTTACTCTAGTTCTACGACGGACATCATCGTTACATGCTCTAACGCAGAGAAACTCTGAGCATAGCCTTCTTAGTAACTTAAGCTTAAAAATGCCCTAAAGCAACCTGCACCATAGACGCCATACACTACAAAACCGAAAACTCAAGAAAGAAAATGTTATAAATTGAACAGATCTCTGCGAAAACTCAAGAAAGAAAATGTTATAAACAGAACAAATGCGAAATATGTATTGTTTTTTTTTTTTTTTGCTTAGATACGTAATCTAAAACGATTGTAAAAAATTCTTGGAGGCACTACTTTTTATGACTGCGATGTTCACTTGTATGCGGCATTTCCTTTGAAGCCGGTATTAGTAAACTAAGTTGGAGTAATAGCTGAACTACCATAATTTTTGGATAATGAACCTGTTATCTGTCCAACAATTGTCCTTGGCACCCGAGTTGACTGGCAGAGAATGCCACATGGCATTAAGTCCGCCCTATGTACCCTTTAGCTTAAGGTATTACAAGTTTTTAAATAAATAAAACCTGTTATCTGAAAACACTCAAACCAACTCCTTTTTCGTGAATATTGCGACATAATATCAAAGTAGGAAGTCGTTTCAAACATCTGAAAATAATAATTAAAAATATATTATATTATTAAGTTATTAATTTTTAAATTGTCTAGTTACCGAACATTGTTCCATCACATCATTCACTTTTATCAAATCCATATCAGGAACCCAACATTTCCCGATAAGACAGTTCTTAGTTATATCCAGAGTAAATAAATTCATAGTATGGTATATAGCTTTAGTCTTTTTGACTTGCATCATCCACGTACTCCACTGCTTGCCCACCGTTTTGAGTGCCTTACAGCGGTGATACTTAGTTTTCTTTAAGACCTGCATAATATAAAACATTAAAAATGTTAAATTTTAAACGTATATAATTTAATAATCAAGATTTTCTAAACACAACATGTAATGGCGTCGAATAAAATAAACATTTAAAGTAGTATTTCCGGCAGTAATTAGGTTAATACTAAAACATACAAATTGGTCGTCTTTAGTGTTTTTACATCGTTTCAAATTATATTTCTAGCATAAATTATTGATGCTATGCTCAAAACAGTTATTCATAGCAGACATGACCTGACTTGACTATCAAAACAATGAGGTCTGTGTTGGCAAAAGTCTTTTATCATGTTTACTCATTATGTTAACTTCACTTTCGGTGACGTCCAAAATTATTTATTAAATTTCAATTCAATTATACCTTGGCATAGATGACCATCTTCCCCTATTTGTTGCCAATTAGTGATAGTCACTTCACCTGTTCAAACCACACATGCACTGAGCGTGATTGATGAAATTCGTGTACTTTTGATTGCCAAATGTTAAAGTGGCGACCCCCCGTAGAATCTATTTCAGAGGATACCTTGAAAATGAATCGAAGTTTTGGGGGCGTGGCTTATTCCTTTGTCGGTGAAGCTAACGTACAATAGCGGGAGTGTCAAAATGAAAGTGATGCAATGACTTCATAGTACGCAAATTATGAGATAGACATACCGAGCAGCCGCTCGAAAAAAACTAAGTAAGCGCCAAACAACATTTTTATTTATTTTAACAAAACTTCGTTACGGATTAAAAAACTGGTTTATGAGAACTTAGGTTTGATTATTTACTATGCCTTAAAAATAATTCCATGAAATTATTCGTAAAAACACTGTAGTGTCATCGAGAAATATAAATAATTAGAGTCTACTTCGCAATTTTTTCTATCGAGGAAATTACATGATATCGTTTGTTTGTTTTTTTTTTTTGTTTTTTAAATAATATTAACAATGCTATAAACATTACCAATATTCCCCTGAACCACTCGTGGTAAGGTTAAATTGCTTGAGTTACGAGTGGTCACGCCAGTAGTCGAATGGCGGATTCGAACCCACGACCTTTTTTGAGTTCGCGGTCCGCGCCCTGCCATTAGGCTACTTTTATGTAATCCAAGGTCATATAGTTAAAAATCATATACCAAAAATTTGGTTTGTAATCTATAAAACTTAGAAAAATATGTTAAATAGAAAAACCAGCAAATATCCGAGGTATCACCTATTTAGTTAACTCGTAAGATAACCAAAGACTAAAAGATTTTATAAATTTTTCATATTTTCATAAAAAAGTCGCCAAATATATACCAGCGTAAAATAGCAGCTTAATGCTGCTTCGTATGGTGAGTGTAGACAACCGAAGACCTGTTTTACTGGAATCAAGGCATTCCATCTTAGTCCTCAGGGGTGGCAATGCATCTGCATTTTGATTCTTAATCAAGGTTAGATGTAGATGTCTTTGGGCCGCAGCATCCACTTACCATCAGGTGGACTGTGTGCTCGTTTCTCACCCTTATAAAAATGTAAAGTGTGTCCTAGATCACTCCCAGCATTGCTCTTTATCTGTTATTGAAGTTTCACAAGTTAGGCCAACAGACATTTTTTTAAATAGTTATTCACGTTTTATTGGCCTGTAAATAACCCCTTAGCTCAATATAAGGCAGCTGTTTTCATTTTATTTATGTTTTGTTTTGCCGAACTAAAAAAAATATTTCCACAATTCATTATTACTATTTATAAAGTACTATTTATAAAGAAGTTATATTAGTATGGCTTTTAAGCATTTTTTTTTCAGGATCTTAAAAACCAAAAACTTGTTTTCAGTCAAAGCATAATTAAGAGAGCCATGATATTTTAACCTCTGAAGTAAATCTAAAATTCCAAAGCATTTTTGTTGTGTTGTCCTTAGTTTTAATATGTAATAATAATAATGTCCTCCAGACCGAATTTCGGTCACGGCGGCCTGCCTCAAAGGAGACAGCCGTCGGCGCAGGACAGGATTATAGTGCCGAAGTGTATGCGCAAGCACAAGTGCACTCTCTATTCCCTCAGTCTCATAATCCGATGGGACGGTAAACCGACACGACCGGAGAGAGATCAGGCGCAGGACCAACGGCTTTACGTGCTTTCCGAGGCACAGGGGTGAGACATCGCCAACTTCCTGACCCCGGGCAACTACTAAGAATTTCTGGACGGAAAAACTCAATAAGTAATTTTTGGCCCAACCCGGGATTCGAACTCAGGATCTCATGATCAGCAGTCGCACTACTACAACCACTAGACCAACGAGGCAGTCAAATATATATATAAAAAAAAAAAATACATAAATATATGATATGTAATATGTAACATTGGCATCACTTTTTTAAATGTGATATGTGAAATAAGTACTGTTACTTATTGTTCGTGTAAGAAATAAAAAATAAAATATTATAATTATACATTGAATTGATTTTAGGTGAAATTACGAATAATAGATTAAAAATCTCCTTGATTTCACATATTTTCACTTAATTAGTATTGCTAGAATAAAAAAAATACATACTTGTTCTAAATCACCAATCCTGTGGTAAAGTTTATTTATCATCTCCTGTCTCTCAGCTTTTGTTTCCGGACAAGGATAAACGTTGACTCGGAATCCCGTGCACACCTTTTCCATTCGAGTACTAAGCTGTTCTCCTTGGCAAATTGCTAAAAATGCCACTTTGCGTATATCCTTGCCCTGGATAAGACAGTTTGTTGATATCTCCAGTAAAAATGTACTATACTATACTACATGCTTCTTAATAACAATAGAGACTGATATAATATTGCAGATTTTGCAATGTAAACTTAAAATTTTAATTAATTGATATTTTTTACTAAAAAGGTTAGATCAGATCAATTAAAAGATATTAAAACTTTTTACGCTGAATATTTAACTTTACTTATCCAGTTTACTTGTGACGGCACTGTCGTTGCGCCGCAAGTGAAACACACCGAAGCCTAAAACACGCATCAAAATTCCGAATCATAAAGAGTATATATAGAACATCTCCGAACTATCACTCCCCCCCAACAAGCTTTCGGCTGACCTGAACTGCCTCCTGGCGGCTCAGGCCGAGCCTACATAACACATCCATTAATCTGCCTTAGTTAGGCACTCTTCTAAGCGGCTTTTCGCCGCTTGCGCCCTCCTTTCTGCCAAGGAGGGTCGCGTTCGTATACGGCTTAGAGATCTCTAGACAGATCGTTAAGCCATTTCCTAAAAGGCGGTGTTTAGTGGGTAAAAGTCTCCACATAACCACGCAGCCGGCTGCGTGGTATGCTATGAGCATTCACCGCCTCCCTCCCCCGCTTTCCGGAGGGTTGCCCACATTTGCTTCGGGCGCAAAAAAAAAAACTATCACTCGGCAGTTCCGTCTGCGCACCGCCCCCGAGCGGTCGTGCATACAGTTCGTTCGTGCTCCGTCCTAGTGCGGAGTGCAACCTCTCGCCCGTGCGCCCCGCTCTCCCCGGCTTACACCTGCCGAGCAGACGCTGTCGGTTCTTTTGTTTTGCATCGTTCTTGCCCCTTCGCTCGAGGAGCGTTCCAGTGCGCTTTGCTTTTATTGTTTTGTTTGCTGTTTTACTTTTAATTGTTCTGTTATTGTTTATTATTATACGGTTACTTTGTTGTTTGTTACTGTTCTTGGAAGATCGTTCTTGCTCTTCTCAGAGCGAGCCCTTGTTCTTGTCAGAACATAGGGACCCCAGCTTCTGGGAGCTAACTGGGGCCACCCAAGGCCCTGTTCTTCTCAGAGCAGGGACCTCTAGATTCTTAGACTAAAATCGTCACCCCCCCCCCCCGTCCAAATCATGTCTGCTATGACATGAGCAATTTCGAGAGCCAACTTATGGCCATGGTCACCCAATTCGTCCAAGCCACAGGCCTACCCATCCAAATAAACGAGATCGCTCTCGTCAACGCTTTTTCTCCCATTGTCCCTAAGGCATGTGTCCCCCCGCCCGCCGTCGCGGCTTTCCCCGTGACCCAAGCGGCTGACTCGCAAACCGATTCGCCCGCGTCCCCCGACTCCGATATGGAGCACTCGGACACCACGTCCGTTACCTCCTCCTCCCGAAAGAGGACCCCCCTCAGCTCCACCTGCTCCTCGGAGTCATCCGACTCCGAAGGAACGATCACAGACTCAGCCCAATTCACGCTAGTGAAATCCAAGCACTCCCCCGCCGCTCCACCGCTGCCTCAACCTCCACAGCCCCCATCGTTGCCCCTACTTCCGCGCCCCAAACGCCGCCACTCAGTCGAAAGATACCACCGCCAAGCCAGCAACCCACTGCGCTCCCAAATTGGCTAAAAACCAAGCCCTGCCCCCTGTCTTTATCAGAGACAAGGTGTAATTCACACAGTTATCCAAAACCCTCTACGATAAGGGTTTCAAATATGATCAAGCCACCAATGTCGGCGAGGCCATCAAAATCATGCCGGCGTCTATAGAAGACTTCCGGAATATAACCCTTCTCTTCACGGCCGAGCGAGTGTCTATCACACATACGCTCTCGCCGAAGAAAGGAAGTTTAAGGCGGTCCTCCGCGGAGTTCCTTATGAACTCGCAAACGAGGACATTCTGGAAGACCTTAAGTCCCAAGGCTTCCCCATAGAGGCTGTGCACAAAATGCACAGCAGCAGGGGTGAGAGATTTAACCTCGCTCTCCTCGTTCTTACCAATGTGCCGGAGGCGAAGGCCATCTTCCGCGAGGTAGGCGCAATGTGCGACCTGTCGCGTGTAAAGGTCGAAGCCCCACATCGGCGCGGTTACCCAGCGCAGTGCCACCGCTGCCAACTCTACGGGCACGTGGCAGCCAACTGCTCAGCCTCACCCAGGTGCGTTAAGTGCCTAGAACCTCATCACTCGAAAGAGTGCCCTCGGCCCAAAAGCTCCGAATCCCCACCCGAATGTGTCCTATGCGGACAAACAGGCCACCCGGCCAACTTTAGAGGCTGCCCTCGCGCTCCTCGCCCACTTCTGAGCCGCAAAGCTCCACCCCAGGTCAATGACCGAACTTTCCGGCTCTTGGAAGCCGCATGCTTCGCCAGGGCCAGCCCCTACCACAGTCCCCTCAGAGCTCATCTCAGCCCACACAGAGCATCTATCGGCCACCTCAGGGCCCTCCTCGGCCCCTTATGAGCCTTCCGCTCTCCCAGCCTGCGCCGCTCCCAATAAACCCTTGGTTCTCAAAGGCAACCAACATCCCGCAGCCCTCCACCGCCCCACAAAAACAGGCAGACCCTGTAGCAGACGATCTAAGCCTAGTGTATAACACTATGAATAAGATCAATATAGGGGAAATCTCTATCCTTGCGCGTAAGCTGCGCACTGCTCAGTTACCACAGGACCGTCTCCTTGCTCTTTCTGAGCATATCAATCTACTCAGGTCGTTGTAAAAATTAAAAACATTATGCCGGAGCCCTCTGCTCCCGCAATATTGTACGGTCGTATCAAACCAAAGGGTTTGTCGCTTGTTTCGTTCAATATCCGCGGTTTGCGAAATAACCTTCCAGAGCTTAGGCTATTTCTTCGAGATCGCGAAGCCGACCTCCTCCTCCTTCAGGAGACCCACCGCAGCCCTAAGGTCTCTAAAGGCCTCTCTATTAAAAATTATTCACTTCTCCGTAATGACAGACCCGACCGCAAAGGCGACGGTACTGCCATTTATTACATAAAAAGTCCCTTCATTGCTACCACATCCCCACTCCGACGCCAACTACACCAGTATGGAAGCCACTATCACTAGATTAGCCATTACTGGACCAGACTATCATTATAGCCTCTTGCTATATCCCTAGCGGAACCCTCCCCGTTAAGAAAGATTTCGAAGCCATCCTTGCATTAGGCGACTCAGTCACTATGTTTGGAGATTTTAACTCCAAGCATACTGAATGGACCTGCCGCACTACTACTAGTAGTGGCAGGGTGCTGCTCAATATCACTCAGTCTCTCGACCTGACTGTCTACAGCCCCCTCGCTGTCACCACTATCCCGACAATATTAACTACGCTCCTGACGTGCTAGACTTTGCTCTAGTTAAAGGAGTCTCCCTTAACCTTAGAGCAATCGAGTCTCTCGATGATCTAGAATCCGACCACCGTCCTGTATCCCTCCTTCTTGGCCATCAGCCATCTCAACTCCCACTTCCAAAACCTACACCAACTGGAATGGCTTCAAGAAGTCTCTAGCCTCGGCTATAGACTCTCCAGACCCTCCCATAACCCTTTCTTCCGACGTCCTCGACAGTACGGGGAAAATAGACACCGCGGTCGAAAATCTCACCTCACTTATAACATTCTCTCCTAAAGAGAATGAAAAAGTCGTCCCGGTTGCTAAAACTAGTCTTCCCCTAGATATTAGCAGCCTGCTAAAATCCAAAAAAGCTGCCCTCCGTAGAACAGCACGCTATCCCACTGCCGAATATAGACTCGCGGCCCACCGCCTTCAACGCAAACTCCGTTACCGTCTCCAAGTTTACAGAGACCTCGAAAGGGGCAATCTCATGGAGAAAATCTCTCCCTCCCACACAGCGTACTACCGGATGGCGAGAGCCCTCCGGATAGACGCTATAACGCATACTCCCCCTCTGTCTTGTCCCGGCGGCTCTATTGCCTTCGAGGACGAAGAAAAGGCTGAGTGCTTCGCCGACAGCGTCGCCGCTCAATGCTCTCCCAGCTCACAACCCACTGACCCCATACACATCCAACTAGTGGAGGACGAGGTCCGTCGCCGGAACTCGCCCCCCACCGCCTCTGATCCTATCACTGTGTCCAAAGATGAGATTTCATCTACCATCAAAGGACTTAAGCCCAAAAAAGCACCGGGTGCGGATGGCATCTCCTTCCAAGCCCTCAAACACTTTCCGGAGCAGGTGATCGTTTTATTGGCCATAATCTTCAACGCCTGCTTCGAATTCAGCTACTTTCCCACCTCTTGGAAGAGGAAAAAGAGGAAAATGTCATTGGCATTCGCAAGCCAGGCAAACGTAACCACCGCCCCTCCAATCACCGTCCCATCAGCCTCCTCAAGGTCATGGGCAAACTTTTCGAACGAGTCATTCTCGTGCGCATGAGGCGCCATTTGTTTCCCACAGACGGCGATCCTCTTGTCATCCTACAACAATTCTGGTTTCGAGCCAAACACTCGTGCCCCCAGCAAGTTCACCGCATAGTGGAATATATCCTCAGCGGTTTTTATCCTCGTCGTCAAACAACCATCGCGGTCTTTTTCGACAATGCCAAGGCATTCAACAGAGCTTGGCACGAGGGCCTTATCTACAAATTGTACGACTTAGGCCTCCCTGACCATCTCGTTCGCCTTGTAGCCTCCTATCTGAAGGATCGTACCTTTCGCTTTAGACACGAAGGCACGCTATCCTCTACTCGTCAAATCAAAGCCGGTGTCCCTCAAGGCTCTGTGCTTGCCCCCCCTCCTATATATACTATTCACCAACGACATCCCTATCCCGTAGAATGGTGTTAAACTAGCCCTCTTCGCAGATGACACAGCCCTTTACTCTAAAGGCAACTCACTGCCACAGATTCCGAACAAGATACAAAAGTCAGTAAGCGACTTAGGAGCTTGGTTCTAAAAATGGCATATCGACGTAAACCCGGAGAAGAGCTCCGCCGTTTGCTTCGAATATAAACGACGCCGTCTCACCACCACTGCGCCAATCAGGATGTTAGGAACCCCTATCCCATGGCAAACTACAGCCAAATATTTAGGCGTCACCCTTGATGCAAGGCCCACTTTCGAACCCCATATCAAGAAGGTTACTCGCACCGCACGATTTTACACGGGTAGGCGCAACAGTATGTCGGGCAGACACAGTAAAATGTCCCTCCGCAACAAGCGAACCCTATATAAGGTCTGCATACGACCTGTCATGACCTACGCGGCCCCCATTTTCGCACATGCTAAGCCCAAAGCTATAAATGAACTTCAAATAGTTCAAAATCTATTCTGTCGTAGGGCCACTAACTCGCCCTATTATGTCCGTAATGCCGACCTACACCGAGACTTAGAGCTCCCAACAATCCAGCAGTTCCTTAAATCACTCTCTGAGAGATTTTTCAAAGCTTCAGAGTCCCACCCAAATCATCTCATTCGTGAGACAGCTGCCTATGCAGCTCTATCCACACTCGCTATAGTATGCGCAGACCGAGAAACTCTCTCTCGGACCCCCCAACAAGCTTTCGGCTGACCTGAACTGCCTCCTGGCGGCTCATGCCGAGCCGACATAACACATCCCTTAATCTTCCTTAGTTAGGCACACTTCCAAGCGGCTTTTCGCCGCTTGCGCCCTCCTTTCTGCCAAGGAGGGTCGCGTTCGTATACGGCTTAGAAATCTCTAGTTAGACCGTTAAGCCAGTCCCTAAAAGGCGGTGTTTAGTGGGCAAAAGTCTCCACATAATCACGCAGCCGGCTGCGTGGTATACTATGAGCATTTACCCTTCTCCGCTTTCCGGAGGGTTGCCCATATTTACTTCGGGCCCAAAAGAAAACTATCACTCGAAGTGTTGGCCGCTCACCGGGCACAACACCTTGCCAGGCGGGAGGTCTCCCCTTTTCCATTCCACCAACAAAATGGTGACCACCCCACTGTGGCCGTGGAAGGAAAAGCGGAGATCTCCCGTCGGGCAAGGTGTTCTGCCCGGGGAGCGGCCAACACTTTGTCGTAGATGTTCTATATATACTGTTTATGATTCGGAATTTTTGATAGCGTGATTTAGGTTTCGGTGTGTTTTGCTTGCGGCGCGACGATAGCGCCGCCACACACTAATGGACATAAAACATACTCACTGTATGCACAGATTAATAAATAGTTCTGTAGGTTGGGCTAAATACAAATTGCTACGCCTGAACGAATTGGCAATCGTTGTTGATCTCGTCGCCGGTATTTGTAATTTTATATCCATTATCATTTTAAGCTTTTTAAGGTTACAATCACGATACTAATAAATAAAAAAATGTCTTGTCAACTGTGTGCCAAGAAGACTGGAAGCAGAGCTATAGGGGGCAACACAAGTACTGATTATAGTTCACGTAAAGCCCTTTATGAAAAGAAACTAATAAAATGTTAAATACAAAAGTTCTTAATATGGTATTACACCTATTTTCAAATATTTTGTTAAGTGAATCATAGAGTAATAATAAACTGCTATAATTTTTATGTGTATAAAATTTATAAAAGTTAATAGTTTCATCAGAATTATTTATAATTTATCGTGAGTTTTTCGCGCAAAACGCTAGCTGCCATGCTATACAGATTGTGATGTTAGTTACCTAGGTAAGTAAAGCGATTTTGCAAAGTAATAAGATATTTTTGAAATATTATAAAGAGTCATCATCTTTATCATTGGTGTGTTTTGGAAGTTATGGATTCAAGTAATTTAATTAATAGATATATTTGGTTAAAACTTGAAGAGACCCGAAGACAAAAAAATTAGACTATACTACTCTGAAGACCACTTTGATGTAAGTACTGTTAACTAAATGGTGACGTAGTGGGTGTATAATATTCGTCACTGTAGAGAAATTATAAATATTTTTCTCTGCGCGGGACAGTTACAGCCTATATACATCCCGCTACTGGGTAAAGGTTTCCCCTCATTTCTGAGAAAGGTTTAGGACAAGAAAGTGTCCGCCGCGGAGCCAGCGTTGTTTTCGATTTTTTTATTTCACACGTGTCATCGGGGATCGCTTGCATTGCTTGTAAACTGTAAAATTTTCGGCAAGTTATTTAGCATCTAAGCTATCACGGCTTACTTAACGTTTCAAAAATCAAACATAGGATAATTTACTAAAATTTTAACTTACAGTATACGGATCTTGTAAAGTAGCGTCCTGGCTAGCTTGCCTATAATAAATGTTACCCCGAGATACTCTCCAAAGCATTGTCTCGAATGGGAAGCTTCGGTTACGTTGCACCACACCAGATATGACCACAAGACGACCACCAATCCTTGCAGTTTCACCTCCTCCTTTTCTGTGCATTTTTATTAATACCACCAATTTATTTTACAAACTTCAAAGTGCTTTGTACTCGTATTTTTTTAAATAAAAAGTACTTTATAAAAATTAAAACATGAAATAATGTTAAAATTATATTATTAGTCAACGGAAAATCGATATATTTTTGTTAATTTACTTCTTCGAGTACCTTGACAAAAGTGAATCCGGTGCAATTTCAGCGTTACCGAGTAAAGGACCTATTTGAATCAAAACGTATAACATTTCTCGCAATTCCAAATAGTTGTTTAATAAACCCGTTTGATTTTCGGACATGCCTACGATGTCATCTTCCCATTTCTCCAAAGCATTCTAAAAAGAAAAGTAAAAATTAATAAACCAAAATAAATAATTACTAAGAGATAGAGTGATAAAAGAACGTGGAAATGTATGTTTCAATTCGAAATTTTCGTAATATATGTGGATAAGCTATTTGCAGCTAGAGTTGTTATGAATGGTAAAATACTCATTAAGCTTGGAGGCGCAGTGACGTAGTGGCTTAGCAGTGAGTTGTGACACTTACTTAGAATCCCACACGTAACAAGTCTTTGTATAGCCTACAAATAGGTTTTTCGTGTATGGATGTTTACACTTGCGCAATTTATGTATGTATACTGGCTCCACGATACATGAGGAAATGCTCTAGTGGGCCTAACGGTTTAAATAAAATAATAACAACCATTAACAGTTTAAATATTTTAAATTATTATTTTTTGATATTTAACTATATGCTACGTAAATAAATATCAATATTATCCTATTGATATTAATATAAACGTGGACTGGTATAAGCAACTAATACTCATCCAGAACCATATTCCAATCTCTTTCTAATACAATTTTATTAACAACTACCTTTACCTATGCGAAGTTGTTCCCTAAGGAAACATCATGTTTTCCTCCTAAATATTATCCTTTGTGCTCGGGAATATATACCATGTAATT